TGGAACATGGTGAGAATCTATACCTCTGAAAACTCAGTTACACACCTACCCCTAAGCCTGGGTCAGGTCAGCTTTTCTTTAATGCTATTGTAGAAAGTAAGTCTTCGGTGACAAACGTCACTGGGAATCTGACCAAGGAGATCAGACGGTTAAGGGAGAAGGTTCTGGAACCCAACATTCTGGCTTCTAATGTGTCAGCTACCTTTCCTCTTCTTGAGCAATTTCAGGCTGGTCACTGAACTGCTCTGAGTCTCATTTGTCAAATGGGGATGCTAACATTACCTGTCTCTTGATGTGAGGATGCTGTAACTACCTTCAGCACACTGCATAACTGGTGGTGAAGGCGATGATGGTGGATGAGGAAGATGAGACCAGGCCAATTCCTTACCATGCATGCCTAGCTTACTTGACCTAGTAAATAGAAAGCTGTCACCAGACAAAAGCTGAACTCTTTTTTAATTTAAACTGAAAGAAAAGTGCATGTGTTCATGTTTGTTGCATTTGATCTTTGCTGGCTTTTGGCAGGGGCCCCGCACTGAGACAACTGCTTTGCAAAGTTCTAAATAAAACAGGAAGGTCCCTCCCCTGTTCTACCTACATCTTGATGGCAGCATCAGAGAGCCCATGAGTCCAGCTCAGCTGGACCCCAGACCCTGGATGCAGTGGGCAGACCCCCCAGCTTCGCTCTCCCAAGGCCAGGCTGGGCACCCTGGAAAGGCTGACCCTCTGATGTGTGCTTGCAGCAAACAGTCACAATTTGATTCTAAGCACTGGCGTCTTGCTTGGCATTTGAGCTCCTTTCATGCTTTCTCTAGGCTGGAGGTTGGGGGGCACGGTATACCCAACTGGGAGCTATCTGTGTGACTGAGACTCCAAAGAGAGGCCAGGTCTGTATATGCTACAAGGTGGCCTGTACAGGATCTCCAGGGATGTGCGAAAGCTGTTGTGTACACACCAATGACGTGAAGGCCCAAGAAGGTGAGGGGGCAATATGGCGTGAGAACTCTCAAGTCAGGTGGGCACTCACATATTGGCAGTGTCCAACCCTCAAATGGCCATTCCTTTCCTGGTTTCACGGAACGAGGTGATAACTACAGCTAGTGAGGAGACGAGTGGGTGTGGGACGGAATCTGGCCCTGCGGCTTTCCAGCTCTTTGTGCTTCGTTTCCCTTCACAATAAATGAATGCTTGCCATACGTCACCGTTCACTCTGCACACACTCGGTAGGAACCACAGATTAGTGATGGTGGATCTGGTTATGGAGAGGACACCCACGGGTCTGTGCCTCCTGCCACATTCACTGCCTATCCAGACCACAGGACTGTTATCAGGTAACTGAAATTATCAACTTGACACAGTCTAGAAAAAGCACCTGGGAAAAATGTCTGAAAGAGGAATTAATTGTCAAGATTAGGCTAGCCTGTAGGCATATCTGTGTGGGTGTCCTTGGCTGGATTGATTAACATAAGACATCCCAGCCCATCATGCGTGTCATCATTCCCTGGGTTTGGGTTCTGGACTGCATGAGAATAGAGAAAGTAAACTGAGCAGTAGCATTTATGCAGCCCTCTCTAGTGTGTGTGTGTGTGTGTTTCAACACAGGGTTTTTCTGTATAACAGCCCTAGCTGTCCTGGAACTTGCTTTGTAGACCAGGCTGGTCTCAGACTCAGAGATCCACCTGCCTCTGTCTCCTGAGTGCTGGGATTAGTGGCGTGGACCACCACACCGGGCTCCCTCTCTGCTCTTGACTGTGGGTGCAACTGGCTGCTTAAATTACCTTGGACTGTCTTCAGTCCCATTAATAACTATTAATCACCAGCTTCTGCATCTGACCTAAAATTCTTTTGGCTACCAGGTACAATCTTTAAAAAAAATGTATTAATTAACTAATTAATTATTATACCACTAGCTTCCACCAACCCAAAATCTAACAATGTCATCAATAGTATCTGAGGCCAACAGCAGAGACCCACTGTAGTCCATCCATCTATCTATCCATCCATCCATTCATCCATCCATCCATCCATCCATCATCCCCATCACACACACACACACACACACACACACACACACACACACACACACAATGTCTTTGCAACAGCATTGATTTCTGACCTCTTTTTATGACCATTCAGAACTCAGATAAACATGTCCATGATGGAACCTGCCATTTGGGGTAAACCAAATCCAACCTCCCAGGCTATGGTCACCCATATTTGGCTCAAAACAAACTATCATTTACTCCTTTTGGAGTAAGAGCTCAGTTTTGCAGACAAGCTTGTCCACAGATACAGATTCTATCAGCCTGTCCAAGGCCAGTGGCTCTGTCTTGGGAAAAGCTGATGGACCTAGTCCTATTTAGGCACAGAAAGGATGTCCCAAAGTAAACTGCAGAACAGAACTCAGGTCCCTATGACCTCCTCTGACACACAGCTTCCTGAATCTCTGAGTGCCTTTGACTTTGTTTCTCTCCCGAAGGATGGGGAAAGTTTTCTTCTCAATTTCTTGAAAGTCCCTTAATTTGAATAAGAACACCGAAGGGAACTCCACCCAGGAGTACAATAGCCAAAGTGGGAAGAATAACCAGGAAAAGACTGGACAGAGAGTAGAGTCCTCTTCATACCCAACAGCACTTTTCATCTGCTCCTCCCAAGCAGACAGCCTGGGAGACTTCATCCATGGATGTACAAGGCCAGTGCTGTGGGCTCCAGGCAAGCGGCCACCTGAGCACTGGTCCACTGTGGGAAGACAGGAGGGTCTGCTATACAGAGGACGTAGAACAGTATGCTTTGGGTCAGAATATTAGATAAATAAGAGCCTGTTAGAAGATACGGACACAGTAACAACATGGACTTATCCTTGAAGGAACAAAGGTGAGCTGGGAAGATAGTAGGGGCTGCATCAGATAGAAACGTCTGGGTGCTGGGGAGATGATAAAACCTGTTTCTGAGGGCCTAACGGCCCAACAGTGTTCATTTATGTTCCCAAAAACATATACCAAAGGGACCTGAACTACCATTGCACCCAGTCTGCTCCTTGCTTCTATACATGCCCACAAAACCACATCCTCTACCCACCAGTGACAAGCAGGGTGGCCTTGGGCAAGCTACTTCTTGCTGATTGTCATGTCTATATCTCTAAAACGAGGAAGCAGCAGCTCCTATTTCTAGTTATTGGGGGGCTAACAGAGATGTGTGCATTGCCTGCACTGTGTTTGACACAGACATCCTTGGCCATGGCATGGCTATTTCCCACCCATTGTTCTAGTTGTAATCTGTTGTGTCCCCAGACAAATCATTTGCTTTTACTATCTTCAGTTTTTCAGTGGGAGCGGCATGAACCTTACTTACTTAGGTTAAGGTAACAATTGACTTCCATCCACCACCAGCCACCAGCCACCAGTACTTCCACTACTTTGTTGCAGTCCCTTAGTCCCTAGACCTTCCAGGGAGTACCTTCCCAACGCATTTAAGGATGAACCTGAAAGTTCCCTTCCCCCTTAAGAAACAGAATATGCAGCACATACTAAGATCCTAAGCATTATTTGGATCTTTCGTGACATGCTTAGAGCATCTAAGTAGACAGCAGAAGGCTGGATTGGGATGCAAGGACATGAAAGACCCTGCTATCTGACTTTCCACAGCCTCTCCAGGTACAAAACTGGACCTTGCTGGAGAGAGAAAACTCAGTCTGGAAAAAGAAACCTCTCTCCAATGCCAGGACCATTTTGTTGATGGTGCTGATTATTCAACTTTTGACAACACCTCCCACACACACCATGTATTCTCCTCATGGATACCCGGGTATGTGTACAATCTGAAGCAAAGCTATGCACCCATTTTCGTGAGTCCCACTATCCAGACTCTTGTAAAGCTTTCTCAGAAAGAAAGGAATCCTGCAGGTGTGGAGTCTATACCAGTGGGAAGGCAGCCTGAGGGAATCCTGCTCTAAATCCCAGAGGATGGAAGTCTTGCTCTGATTTTGGACCCAGGATAAGTGAATTTGCAGTAGCTTGTGCATTCCACAGACTTAGACCAGGCCATTCCCATGTCCTAGTCTAAACTTGCTGTCTTTCGGGAGACCTGATTGGCTAGAGAGTAGACGGCTTGCATCTGTCCTGTCTTGCTCTGGCTATCTTCCACACTTGACCCACAACAGGACAGATGCAAGGCCTTTTGGAGCAGAGCAGAGGCCCAGGGAAATCTTTGTTGACTGATTGCATGATGTATGAGACCAACAGACCAACAGACTCTCCTTAGTTTGGCAAGCTCCAGATAAAAGTAGAACTGTCCATTCAGTGAGCCAAGGCGGCCAAACAGGGTTGTAAAACACCAGCAAATCCCAAGAGGAGATTTTGATATAACTCATAGGGCTGAATGCTCAGCCCTGCATGCCCAATGTGGCTGAATGAGGAACCCATTGGCATCAAGGCCCATTTCAAACGGACTGCAGCCTGCTGGTAAAAGAAGCACACAGACCAAAATCCAAGTATGAAGAAGTACTTTAATAGCTGAAACTCAAAGTCCTTGTGCTCCTGGTTCCAGGATTCCTAAGAGGCATCTTTGGCCATCTCAGAAGCCAGGGTCACCCACCTATGGTCTCAGGGCATCAACTTCCTCTGGGTGCTGAGTTGGGGGAAAGTGTAAACTCATCCAAGACCATGACTGTGAGGACCTTCCTCTTATCTATGCATCCAGTCAACTGCATTAGTTGAACAACTTGGGCTAAGGGAAGAGACAAATGTTGACTGCTTAAGCAGGAAGAGCCCAAGCTTGTAAGAAAAAGCACGCTGTATACATAGCATACGGAGGGTAGGGCTTCGGCCCGTGCACCTGCAACATTACATTTGTTTTGCCCGCAGACTATCAAGAAGGGTTCTGTCAGCAGGGGTGATCCCTGAACAAGCAAAATGTCGGACGAAAGTCCTGGATGTCCTGCGTCACCAGCTCAGAGTTCTCATGCGTCATCCACCGGAGAGTTTTGAGGGAATCATGAAGTCAGGCTCTTGCCTCTGCCTATGGGTCGATTTCTTCAGGAATAACCGTAATCATAATGTCTTCATTGCCCCTGCGGACAACCATGTTCAGGGTATTTTCCTTTTTAATGACATCACTGACATCATTGGCAGTGACCACTGACTGTCCATTGATGCTGATGATGACATCATTTTCTTTGAGCCCTCCACTGAAACACAAAGGGAAATACACTGGTAACATTTCCATTCTTCCCAGTCACCAAGAAAGGCACAGTTAGAATCTAAAAGCCCAGAACACAGGGGAAACAAGTTCAACTGGAGTAAATGGTATGTCCTGTCAAGACTTCTTTTTTTTTTAGGCCAAATCCATAATGTTCATTGAAGAAACATCTATGACATTTGTATGAACTATGATCAGCTGTCCTCAGGGGACATGGAAACACCAGGTAATATGACCACAGCCAATTTGCTCATGAATGGCATTGTAATTCAGAAAGTGATCCCTCCAGAATACCTCTATCCAGAGAGGCTCCTTTGTGTCATGGCTGGAACTTCAGCTCATACGTGATAGGGCCACTACGCTACCACAGTCCTCCTTGTCCTAATGTAAGTCTACAGACTTGTTCCACAAAGGCCAGATGGGAAACAGCTCAGGCTTCACAGAGTATTTGGTCTCTGTGTCTTAGCTATCCAATTCTGCTGCAGCAGCATAAAAATTGCTCCAGACAAGATGTCATCTTGTCTGGGGACACGGCTGTGGTCCAATAAAACATGTGTGCACATTTGCATTTCAGAGAATTTACAGTATCATGAAATAGTGTCATTTGGATTTCTTTTCCAACTATGAAAAAATGTAAAAACTACTTTTTCTCAGCTCACACATCATTGTCGACAGACAAAGAAGCATCAGGCCAAAACTGGCCCCAGGGCCTCATATCTGCAGCTGCAGTTTGCACTGATTTCTAGATGTCATGAGGGGCCAGGTAACAAGCCTAACTTTTGGCTGAACTGCTTCCTTCACTATTTTGATGTGATTTGGATTGCTTTTCTATAGGTGCTGATGGGTATGACTTCACTAGTCACAAACATAACTAGAGAAAGCTCTGGGGAGGATGAATCCTGCTCCACAAAACATTCCCTATAGCCAGGCTTCCCAGGAACTCCCAGCAAGCCCACCAGCTGAGTGTCCTTCCTATATGGATGACCCCAGCGATGACCCAAGGCAAAAAAGCTCCTTCTATAGACAAGGCTCAAGTACAACACAGTTAGAAGCCCTGGCTGTTAGGACGCGGTGGGCTGACACGGTAACCTGGGCCAGTACATGAACACTGCTTCCTAACCCACAAGCCATGTGGATAGTAGGAAAGGGGAAAAGACTTCTCACTCACGCTTCTGCTGGGGTGTCGGGAATAACTTCAATGATATATGCTCCAGAGAGTACATCTGGGAAGTCTCGGTGGCGGTCCTTCAGCTCTTTGGCCTTGCTGCTTAGGAGAAAACGCCCCCGTGTTAATATCAAGCACCCACAGCCTTCCTGCGCCAATACTCGGCTCTCACCAAATTTCCTTCTTATTCTCAACTTCAAGTCTTCGAATTTATGAAGATCGTGGCACATACATACACAGGCTTTGGCACAGCACAGCACACATGTGGAGGTCCAAGGACAACCTCAGTCATTGCCTTACACTTTGTTTGGGTCAGTGGCTCTTGCTTGCTGTGGTATACACCGGGCTAGCTGGCCTGCGATGGAGAATCTCCTGTTTATCTCCAATCTTGACATAAATTGCACCGGAACTACAGACACGTACTCCTATGCCCAACTTTACACAGGTCCTGGGGATTTGAGCTTAGGTCCTCATACTAGCATGGCAAGCACTTTTACCTACTGAGCCGTGTCCCCAGCCCCCAATTCTCCTTTAAAATGGCCTGCCTACTAGCATCAACAGTTGCCTTTTAATAGCGGGAAACTAGTTTAACCATCCGCACAAGACAGCTGCTTCTACAGCTGCTTGTCATTGCCAAGGCTGAGCTGTACCTGACCATTCAGTAGGCACACCCACACTGTTAACCTCATCCTGAAGGAGAGTATGCTGAGAAGAATGGGAGCTTGGGAAACAATTCAGAAAGGTGGCCCCACAGCCTAGCTCTCTTTGCCCACACGTCCATCTCTTCTGCTACCCAAGGCAACCAGTGTGATTTTCAGTCTCAGCAAGCTGCCTCATCCTTGGCAACACTAGGAAAAGTACCATTGTTCATAACCTGTATGGAGTGTCTTAATATTTTGACAACTGAACTATCAATACATCAGCTCTACAGTGACTCAGACATGCTATGCTGGTCAGTTCGGTTTCCTGTATTTCAAGCAGGTTCCCCCAACCTCCTCCAGTATGCTTGGCAACCGCAGGCAGCAACTTCCACACTCAGGAAAACAAGTCCATCAGTCATCAGTACCCCAAGGCTGGGCCTGCCCGGGCATTCCTGCAGCCACACCCCACGCTGCAGCGTGCAGGGGAGGCTGGTGCTCCAGGCTGGGGCGGGCACTGGGGCACTCCTGGAATGTGAGTTTCAACAGAACAAGTGGTGAGAGGCAGACACGAGAGTATGCAGAAGTGAGCCAGCTGTCTGCCGCTCAGGCCTGCCTTTGGGGAGGAGGGCAGAGGTTTCCAGGTGGTCAGAATGCAAAAACAGAGGCCCAAGCTCAACAGTCCCTCTCCTTCCCCAGTGAGACTTACTTTTAAGCAGAAACTGAAGTAAACAGTTTCCCTTCAAGAATGCCCATGAAGCCTTGCAATGCCCAGGTTTATATAAATACAGGGTAGACATTCATATTAATATAATTATGTGTCCTGTTTACCCACCTAGATGTGAGGGACATCATCCGGATACCAATATACTTCTTCTTGGTGACAGCTTTCCCTGGTGTGACAACAAAGGGACAAAAGGTCATCCCAGTTGATGGGAGTATGGAACACAGGAGGAACCAGAGTTCCAATGCTCCAGTTTGTAGCATGAACCAGAGGGGGGCACCCAAAGACTGTGGTTCAGTCCTGACCTGGATTCCCATCTACAGTGGGACTTAACGTCTCTCACTTCAGAAACTATCAAAAACTCAGGCATGGCCCTTTGTTCCTAACCCCTATGGGTATCTGGAGTGAGACACCCTCCCCCCTTTGTTCAGTCTCCACCACTACCACCCTGGTAACATGTATTGGCTCTGGACTCTTGAGAGGACTGGTCTTAGGGACTATATCATCTTCCCCTTTCCCAAGTCCTCAGGGGTCAGCTAAGCCTCAGGACTGAACCTGCAAAGGTTCCCAGGATACCTGGACCTAGTTACCTTTGGCCTGTCGGTCATGGGACTCTGTCAGGAATTTCTTTATCTTATCCGATGGAATTGCAAAGGAGATGCCTGCTGTCACTTTCAGAGTATTAATTCCAATCACCTCGCCATCCTGAAAAGCAAGCATGGCTCACTAAACAACTCAGGAGGGTCAGAGGCAGGCATAGGCTGGAAGGGAGCAGAGAGTCCATGAGAAGTCTTTCCAAGGTGTGGCCAGCTGTGGCGCCTCACACCCGTAATCCCAGCATTCAAGAGCAGCTGAGATAGGATCACTGTGAGATCCTGGCCAGCCTGAGCTCTGGTTTGGGACTTAGTTTCCAAAACCAAGAGTGAGAGGACGATGCTATCTTCACTGGTCATCACATACTCTACCCCACAGATGTGTACAATTAAAGCAGTAATAAAAAGGGGAAAAGAAGCGTGGGCTGAGAAGATGACAAGGTGGTTAAAGTGCTTGCCATGCAAATGAGAGGACTGGGAGCTGGGATCCCCAGAACCCATGTGTATGTTGGGTGTGTGTGGTGCCTTGCCCGTAATTCCAGCCGCAGAGGCGGGATCCCAAGGGAAAGCTGACTAGTACAACTGGCTGTAGCACCTAGCTCTGGGTTCAACTGAGAGACCCTACCTCACTGAGTAAGGGAAAATGTGAATGAGAAAGATCCTTCATCAACCCTGGGCTTCAGGCACAAATACACATGTGCACAGGCAACACGTCCCCATCCATGCACACTTGTGGCCATACATGCAAATGCTTATATATATGACACATAGCAGGGAGAGTATTTTGGCTATGTCTGACAATCAGGAGGGCTGTTAGGAGGAGGCCTGGGGACAACGAGGAGAGACACATTAGGGTTCTGTGTATTGCCAGCCACACTTGGCTTTGGAAAGACATACACAAGCTCTAGGTAGGAGCTTAATGACTGTCTTGTTGCATGTACAGATGATCTCAAAATCCACAGCATTGCTCTTTTCACAGGAAGAATGCTTCCACAATCTCTGAGTTGCTAAGGTGACCATTTGCCCTTCGTTGCTATCCTTTTCCAATGGCAGATACCGAGTTGAGCCTGGACCCCCAGGCTCTGCTCCCAACAGCTGCCCCAGGGTAAGTATGGTGGGGACAAGTGAAGATGTGGCTCTTCCCTGAGAAGTTTCTGGTGACCTAATAATGATGTGTGGGAAAAAAGAAGCTAAAAACATTCAGCATACATTGCTCCTAGGGTACTTTGCACATATCAGTTCCTGACACTAAGGGACCCAGCAGGAGGTATCTTTGGGTGGCCTCGATTTTATACTCTCTTAAACAACTCCCAAGCTCTGGCATTCTGTGACTTTCAATTTTATGCTGAAGTATTAAAGACTAGGTTAAGTGAGAGCTCTGTGAGCAAACGGATAGCTCCTCGTCATACCCACAGGCATTCAGGGAGGGTTCTGGTATGGAGACAAGCCAGGCCAGCTCATCCCCATTCAGCCACCCTCAAGGCTGAAGGCACCTTTTCTACGGCTAGCAGCACTGCGGGGACCTTCAGTCCCCTTTCTGCCTAGAACTTCACGGCATCTGCCTGTGACCTGAAACACAAGTGTGTCCTAAGGCGGGTGGACAAAGATACACTCACGAAGCTCCCTATAAAGTTAATCACCTCCAAAGAGAAAGCAAAGGACGTAGCATGCCCACAGATGAAACAAGCACAGCATTGGTACTGAAGGCCTTACCAGGTTTACTAACGGGCCCCCGGAGTTTCCGTACTGAAACAAAACCAAGAGGGAAAGGTCAGATCTGTTTCCGCATCACCGTCTAACCAATGTCTCCACCCAGCACGTTTCAAAGCCCCGTGCTGAAGCAGGTGGCAGGACTCCTCCCCAGATTTGTCTCTGCTCACCTGACATTCAGCTCAGAAGAAGGATCTTGACCATTTTCAAAAGCTTGGGATGTGCCTTGGTGGGATCATTTACCTCCAGGCCCACTGTGAGCATCTAAACCGCTTTGACCTCCTCCTCGGATGAGACTGGCTACCCACTTGCTTCAGGACCGCATAGTTCAACTCTGTTTTAGCCCCAAGTGGGACACCACCACCACCCATACACACCCCTGTAGGACTACACTCCATGTGGTTTATTCAAGAATTCATGCAGAATATAAGAAAGTTTGGGAATACTAGCTAGCTTCCTCTGGCAAAAGCTTGCCGCCACCCCAGCAGGTAGAGGGAGTGAAGGACTCACATTGATGATGGCATCTGTCTGAATATAGTCCATGTCAGAGTTTCGGAGCCCCAGCTCTTTGCCGCCTCGTTGGGTAGTGCTGACAATCCCGGTGGTGACCGTGTTTTGAAGAGAAAAGGGGCTTCCGATGGCTACCACAAACTCTCCCGGCCGCAGCTCTGAGGAACGACCAAGCAGCAGGACTGGCAGCTTTCCCTGCAAGCACAAAGGCAGTCATTGCTACATTTCTGCTTAGCAAACTGGATAATGCAAATACAGAGGGCACAGAGCAGTCCTGGCCCCTTGGGGCTGAGCTTGGTGCTAAACTAGGTACCAAGTCCCTGCCATAATACACACTCCACAGGCCATTAGGGAGCCAACGAAACAGAAGACACTCATGGCAAGGGAAATGGGAGGAAGTGATAGTTCATCTCTAGGTCTCACACCTTGGAGCTATCCATGCAGCTGGACAGAGGACAAAGGGAGCCGACCTAAGCTTAAGATGGTCTTAGAGATCAAAGTCCTAGCTAGGGATCCTGAGTACCAGCCATCTGCAGGACAGGCTGAGGCCAGGCTGCCAAACTGGAATTCTGCATGAGCTTACAAGCATGAACTCCTCATCTGAGAAGTGGGAATAAGACAGTACACCAATCTCACTTGTATCTTGTGAGAACCCAATGATAGGAGCCTGACCGGCTCTCTGGAAACAGCCCGCTTGGCTGATGTATCAGCTGAGCATCAGCTATTTACCAGTATTCAAGTCCCTGAAAGTTGAATGAAGGGTTCCAGCAACTGTGCTGTGACAAGCTAGTGTATGTGACCTTTCCAGACACATTTCCACCCTATCTTTGACCCTTTCACTTTAAGGTCACCTGAGGTCAGAGCCAATGGCATTCCCTAAACAGACCCACTCAGCATCCAATGGCATGTAGCAAGATCAGCGCGACGTGTTTACCCTGGGTGGGCGCCAACAGTCCCTGCCAGCAAGCTCTGCCAAGAATGACCTCAGCAATCACGGCAGGGTGAGGCAGAGTCTGGCTGCTGATGTGTGCTCGGCCACACTGGAGGAGGCCCACCAGGACGGCACCGTTCCTTTGGGGCACAGGGCTGGCTGAAAGTTGTCTTGGAGGCTTCGGGGATAACTGTGAAAGGCAGGCAGGAAGGGAGGCCGGGGTCTACAGTCTGGACAGCCAAGGAAGCAGAGCTACACAGACAGAGTCAAGCCTAACTTGGAACAGTGGGCCCAGCTACACAGCGGGGACTCTATCAGGTATGAGGTAAGATCCACTGTGAGAATCAGTCAGTGTTTGGCTTGTGCCAGGCCCCAGCCACTGCCTCTGCCTGCTAGGAGGAGTGCCAGATGTAGGCTTTACACCTCAGGACCCTTAGATATCAGGGACCTAATGACAATTCTATCTAGCTCTTCTGTTCCAAAGTCTGAGCTCAGGCCCAGAGAATGCTGGGAAAAAGACAAATGTTTTGGGGAAAGTTGTGTGGACAGCTTCTACAGTGGAAGGAGATAAAGGTCTCTACATTTTAGAGCACTCAGAGGTCATGCCAGGCTCAAGATGAATGGACTCATAGAATGAGGCCCCTTAGGAATGCCTGTGTGACCACTCTGTCACACCTGTCCAGGTAGGCAGTCCCAATAATCATGTCTCTTTAAATATATGTTCTAAACCATGAAGGTTATTGTAAACACAATAGCAAACAGGCAGACACATAATGGCAGGGTAAGGAGAGGGTATCATAGTCCAAATGCTCAATTTATATGAAAGGAAGGAACCTTTCCCTGCCAGATGACCAAGTTCTTACAGGGTACTCTGATGACTTGGGACATAACACCCTACCACACCATTTTACAGATATGGAAACTGAGGCTCGGGATGGAGACGCTTCTCTCAGCCATGAGAAGTCTGGCTAAGCTGGAGAACCGGCTTCCATTCCCATAAGGCAGGAACTCTAATTGCCGGACTCCAATTACAGGCAGAAATCCCTACGAGGGGGAGTGAGGTGGTGCCGAGATGGCGTCCAGGCCAGTCTCCATGAGGAGATTTACAGCTCCATGAGGTCAAGCTGCCTTAAGGGGCCCTTTTGGCCCTTGCTCCCTGCAGGTGCTGGCTGGCTGGCTGTGAGCCTCAGGCTCCTTAGCCTATTCCCATCCTAATGGGGCCGTTCTCAGCCACATCCTCACCCTGGGCCTGTCTGCTCAGTAGCTATATGCCTTTGCTGGCCAAATTCCTGCTCAGTAATTGAGCTTTTAATTCTATCCCTGTCTAGACAGCCACACTCTTGAGGGGGGACAGAGGAGATGAAATGTGCATGGCTGGAAGGCACAGCCGGGCCGCAGCCTTGACCTGCAGGCACTCTGCCACACTCAGGGTCCCTGTTCGGTCCACAGACGGCTTCCCATGTGTCTACATCAAAGCTGTCTCCAAGCCCCTGGCTGCAGACGCTCTGTCTAGGGTTCCCTTTGAAGCAGCCCCAGCCACAGGCCATCCAAGAGACCAGCTCCTCTCCTGACAGACACTTCACACACACCCATCCCACATCTCAACGCTCCCCTAAAAAGTAAACAGGACAAATATCCACCCTGATAGGTTGCAAAGGCTGAGAGGAAGAAAGAGACCCATTGCCGCCTTGGCCTCATTGCTTGGGAGGCACGAACATGCAACTTGTGGGAATAATAAAGTCAGGAGACGGGAAAACAGAGCTCCGAGGCTCCATATCATGAAGCCAAGAATGAGCCCTCAGCCTTTAACAGAAGGGTCAGCAGCTTACACTGGGCCAAAACTCAAGTCCTTCTAGGATAAGGGACATTGCACAAGTGAGTCTCTCACAATAAGCTCTCACCACACTGGAGAAAAACAGTGGCCTAAGAGGCCAGCAGCAGGGAAGGGTATGACACAGGAAGATGTATAACCGCCATATCTTCTGGGCACTGCCTGACGCTAAATGGTATCCTCAGTGTCGATAAGAAAGTGACTAGGGAAAGAGAAGAATTCCTGAGGGCTGGGGAAATGGCCCAGGCAGGCAGACGGATGACCTGAGCCCCAATCCTAGAAACCTCACAGAAAGTCACATGTGGTGCCACACATCTGTAATCCCAGCACTCCTTCTTCAAGATGGGAGACAGAAACAGGAGATGCAGCTCATGAATCAGTTAGCCTGGATAATTATATGCAGGGAGGTGGCAGAAACAAGAGGAATCGTCAATTAGGTGGAAGACAAGAACTGACACCATGAAGTTGTCCTCTAATCTCTATGCACATACCTGCATACATATGCACAGGTATGTGAACATGGGCATGTACACACACGCCAATAATAATAATAATAATAAAGAACCCATAATGCCCCAGTTACAGGCACACTGTCACCTGAGTAGGTGGAGAATGAGCTCAAGGTGGTGTCAGTAGCCCTGGACATGGACTCCAAACTTAACCATGTCCACACAAATTATCAGTACCAGTCATAGACTGGATGGTAACGGTAGGTCACAGGCTTGGTTCACAGCATGGATTTAGAAGGCTCCTCCTAGGTAGGTAAATTGTAGCCATCACACAAACAGGCCTATGAGCTTTGCTTTCAGGACACAATGCCCACCTAAGAGGGAATAGTCCCAACAAATTATCTTCCCAGTGCCTGGCATAAGACTTCAAGGACCAGTGTATCAATTCCAGCTTTCCAGGCTTCTTGTCCAAAGTGCTGAACATGGATGATCCACCAGGGCCCAAGAGTAAAGAGGAATGGAGTCCATTCTCTTGCTGTAGGCAACTGGGCACAGAATCGTCTACAATGTCTAGCACAGAGCAACACTGCAAAGATTTGTGCCTGTCTCACATGCAAGGAAGAGAAAGCTGAATCCAAAATGGACACAGCCATGTGTCTGAGGCCAGGGTTGTACCAGGCCTGAGAATGAGGAGAAGCACTTTGTGAGGTGAGCTAGGAGTGGGCCAAGGCTTTGATAGCTGAAGGGCAACGTTGAGAATCAGGAGCATTCTCCTCTCCACTCCATCAACTTCAGCGAGCTCATGGTCAAAGACAGCCACCACCACTCCAGACATCATGCAAAGACAAGAAGATGCCTGATAGGAACATGGCAAAGAGGGCCAGTAAGATGGCTCACTGGGAAAAAGTAACTGCTGTCAAGCCTGATAACTTGATTTTCTATCCCTGGGAAAGGTTCCACAAGATCTGATCTATGACATATGTCTCAGCTGAGTCTAGACACAAGTGACTGAGTAGAGCCTAACCACAGTAGACAAGCTCACTGCTGGTTCACCTCACACAAGTGCTTCCTCCTGCTTTGTTGCACAGTAATGGCTTACAATAAGCACTCTTTGGGACACACAGGACAGGCTTGCATCCAATGGGCTGGGGGTATGCATGTGTGAGTTCAACAACCCCTCCCTCCTGACTAAGCTTTGGCAGTAGATCTACTCCAAGTGTTCTCACCAGCCCACCAACCAGTATGAAGATGCTCAGGGCACAACACCAACCAGAAAGGAAAGAACCAATCTGTGCACAGAGGGAGGGGACAAGAGCCAGTGTAACAGAAAAAGCAATGACAGAGAAGTCAAAGAACCATGACATAAGCCAGGAGGTGGTGGCATACTCCTTTAGTCCCAGCACTCGAGAGGCAGAGGCAGGTAGATCTCTGAGTTTGAGGCCAGCCAGGTCTACAGGGTGAGTACTAGGACAGCCAGGACTATACAGAGAGAATACAGTGATAGTCTTACCTAGCATGTGCAATATCTTATGTTCTATCCCCAGCATAAGGCAATTTTTAAGAACAACAATCAGATGGACCAACTAACACAAGAAGAGCTAGTGGTTCTCAAGCAAAGGGCTGCCCTTGCTTTTATCCCACAGTATCTTCTGGGGAGTCTGTCTTATCCTCAGCCAAGCCCTGGTAAGCTTGGCCTTGACTTCAAGGCACATGTGCTGTAGGTTCATTAGTGAACAGAGGATGAACCCTAACTGCCAGAACTCCTCAGGGCAGGAAAGCTGAGCCTGTGCTAAGTGACACTCCATGGTGATGGCTGCTCATCTAAGGCTCATGGTCTAGCATCTAGGGCTTGATGGTCCAACATCAAACAAGCTGGTGCTGAAGAGAAAATTAGGCAAACATGTTCATATGCATACACACTTCCCAGTGGGTTCCACGTCCACAGGAGAAACAGACATCTGGGTTTAGGCTGAGTCCTGCATAT